TGGTAAGGCAGGTGAGGACGACCATGGTTTGATACATGAGGAGACCCATAATGAATAAAAGATGCATATTTATATTTCAATTTTTCACATTAACCTTTTACCCGACCAGCGGTTTATTCTAAATAATAAACCATAGTCAGTTAGACTGTTATACGCCAAACCTTTTATTAAACACTGCAATTAATTAAATGATGGTCCTATTCACAAAAGCAAAAATACCTCAAATGATCTTGTTTTGTAAGTCTAGATCTTTGATTCATGATAAAAGCCAGAATACTTGTCAAACACCAAAGTTGGGGGCTTTCGATCTTATTGTTAATTTCGATCATCCTGGCTTCTTTAAACATTTTTGGCTAAAAGGTAATTACGGTTTTATGATAAATCGATCGACAGTATTCATTGAAAATACAAAATCTTATCACCAAAAATGGCTATTATCCCCTATTTCAAATCGCAAAAAGGAAAAAAAAATCGGCCATTTATTCATCATGGATCAAGATTTGTAAAAATAGTAGATGATAAATCAGATTACGTACCTATTCAAAAATGGATTAATATATTATTAGCCATACACGTAATTTGAATACGCTAACGTCAGTAGGATAATAAAAATATACCGTTTATCTGAGAATCTGTAAATCATAGATTCTAATTGCTCTATTTCCATTTTTGAATTTCTTTTTAACGACGCCCTGTCTTATGATCCGCAAAATGTAAATCAGGATGTGTTTGTTTAATTAGTAATTCAGAACTGCGTAATGAGTGAGATAGAACATATCAGAACTCTGGGGAAAAAAGTTCATAAGTATAGTAACGCAAAAATATTACACTTGGCCGGTGAATCCTCTAAAAATAACAACTGCGAATGTTAGGAAGCAGTATCATGTATTTAGTGACGTAACATATTTTCAGGGTATTTACTACAGCGCGAAGCGATCATAGACGAGAGAAGCTAAATACCTAAATTGTAGATAAGGCATTTTGGTATATTATCGTTATAGAATAAACCTATTCTGACACTAGTGCTGGTGATAAGATTGAGGTATACGAATTCTTGGAGGCTTTAGGATTATTAGATAATGAAGTCGCATCCATCAACATGGATGATGATGATAATAACGAATCTGACATTAACGAAAAAGATAGTGATGATGATCAGGACAATTATTGGGACCCTAAGAAAACATATACCGGATGGGATTATAGAAGATGTTTTGGTGAAGATGCTTTGAAAAAACTTTATCAAGCATGAGAAGCTCGTCATCAAAACATTGTACTCATGGAATTTACCAGACGTCTTCCAGATATATCTGATCAAGAAAAAAATAGATTATTCGACACATTCTCTAGGCCTAATGCATTTGGGATGAAAGAACATAATGCACTCTTAGATGCATTAGCCAATCCCGTAAAAGGTTGGGATCTTGATAATTATTGAATGGATAATTCCGGCAGATACAAAAGAATTATTTAATGTTACATAGCAAATGAAAAACTGCTTTATTAATACATGCGAAAATAAATACAGGATTCAGGACACTAGCCCGCAATACATATTATTTTTTGATTAATTTTTTGATCCTAGTCCTCTTACTAGTTCTACACTAACCCTATCCTTCAACAGCCCAACAATTATACCTATTACCCTTTTCACATTGTTTCGAAGTAACTCAGGATTTTCTTTGACGGCAGACTTCGTGAGATTAATTTGGTATTCGCTACCACTTGTGAAGAAGATGCCATTCGAAGTATATATGATAAAATGCTACTCTGTACCTGTAGTCACAATACCATAGATATAGTCAAAATAGTCGTTCCTGAATGCTTGATCCGCAGTTCATTTTTTCTTATTTGTTTGGAATGCACTTTCAAGCTGAGCCAGATTCTAAGAAAAATAAAATATGTTAATATTATTGAATCTCTTTCAGCTTGGCGCTCTAAAAAACAGATCTGTGTAATAGACGCACCTGCATATATCTGATCTTAATATTACGAGGCTTTCCTTCAGTAATATAGAGGAGGTCTTCCAGACTTTTGATTGCGTAGTCTACTCGGCCAGTGGCATCTTCACCAAAAACGTCTTTCTGCAAAACTATAAATATATCTTGAGAGGTGAGTTTTTTAGCTATAGCGATGGATATATGTAATATAGCTGAAATAAATTCACAGCGCATGGTCTCATTAGCATCAGTCATAGTTTCCACATTCGAAAGTTTTAAGATAATGTCCTCCATACAGTGTTTGAATGCTTTATCATCATCACTAATCTCCTCGAAGACTATAGAGAAAAATAAAGTTAATATAGATATCTAGTCAGTTTCAAAAAATAATTAATTACCTACCAGGAGAAAACTGCTTGATGTTTGTTATATCTTTCCCGTTCACCTTATTTTTATGCAACATTTCCTTTAAGTCATCGAGAGTTTTAAGTGAAGAATAATTTCATAATTTCTGACTAAGGCCTTCGATGAAGTCTACAAGTCTTGTTGCTGGCCCTCCTTTCATTTCATAACATTCAAGTTTTTCTTCTGTTAATTTAAGAAAATCACAACTAGCAATTTTCTCTTTACGAAGAATTTTAATATTATCTTCATCGAGCTTCAGGTCTTTCCTCCTCAAATATTCGATAAGCTCCTCTATATTAAAATCCTTAACCACGTCCGACATTGTTCTAGTTGAAATTTCTTCCGTTATTGAGACAAGTGAAGCGGGTGAAGAAGCTTGTGAAGACATGGTTTTTATATATGTGAGTTTGTGCTTGCGAAAAAATATGCACTCGACTGCAGTTACAGGTAAAGCTGGTTTATGGATATAAAAGTATTTTTGGTTTCAGCGCTCAGAGAGAGATGTTAGATTTTGTATCGATTCATAATGCATTTACCCAATATATATGCAATTAAGATGTAGTATAGGATTGTCAGACGATTATATTACATTATTACACATGACATTTATCAAATATTTACGACAAGAACATAATACATGCTTTATTTAAATAAAAAAACACTGCCAGAGCATCTAATACATAAAAAATTGCGAATATATCACTATATGATATGCATAAAAAAATTCTAACTATTGAAGATACATGAGGATGAGACCCTCTTTAATGTGATCGATATTAAAATGCGTAGAAATCATATCATCTTATTTCAACACTTTTGCCGGCCCTTTTGGATTATTCACGTAGAGCTTAATCTCATCAGGAACCTGCTTATAAAGTGTTACCATTCTTTTTTTAATAGTGGGTATGGCGTGTTTACCAGGCTATTTTGATTATGAAGATTTTATCATCTGATTTATCATGGACTTTAAACCTGAAGTCAATAATATTGGCCATTTTTTTTCGTTTCCTAAATACAAGGCTCATAGTGAGAAAAAACTCGCTCCCATATATACATAATTTAGGGCATATACATATCTTATTTTGCGCTATTTTATGAGAAAGTTTTTGCGAAAAGTTGGCTGAACTTCTATATACTCCTACATGCTTTATATCTTGCTGGGAAAAAAGATAAGGAGGTATGAGACGTGATTAGTGTTGTCGTCTGATGCCAAGAGCTTCATAAAAGCACATGCAAATAAAACTTTCGTATCTTTTCACATGGAGATCTACCGGAGAGACACATAGTTAGTTTTACGCCTGACGATCTCGAAATTGTGACTCCCTCAGCCTTTCATAACATATGCTTTTATCATTAATATTTACTTTTAGAGCTGGTCTTGTGTTGCAACTAGACCCCCTTTCACATTTTCTTACATTCGTTTAGGAAAAAAAATAAAGAATAAAGGTTAATATGTTTTTCGAATATATATGCAAAAATTATTATGTCACACAAGACCTGACTGATGATTGGCCTATTTTTGTCGCACAATCTGTGGCCCAGTAAAAATCTTCTGAGCTGATGATCATGAGAATCGCCTTACGGTCCGCTCTGGACTAGCTAGATTGGTAAAGTACGTTACCATTCTGATTGATTGGCTAGTATTCTATCACCAGCTTTCAACATTAAGGTGGAAATATTACCTCGAGTCGGTGAATGTCTGTTCATAGCTATAATGTGGTGATCTTCACCAGAGTCAACCGTCATGAAACTAAGATGCTGGTATAACTGAGGTAGAACTGAATTCAGATTATTACCAACACTATACCGAATGTTATATATCCGTCCTATCTCTTGATCTAATTCAGCTCGCATATCCATAGAATTCATGAAATCCTCAACATGGATATTTGGATTAAGTAAAACAAGCTGATCTATGGCTTCTTTAGTAATATTAGTAGTGTTGTTAATCAGCGCGAAAGCTTGGCCCAGCTTCCCTATCCGCGGGTCATAGACTTTGGTCAGGCTAGGCGAAACTAAGTCAATTAACAACACTAAATATTAGCACACCCCTTCAGATTAAGATATTTTAAATAAAGACACAAACGAGAAATTTCTTTGATAGTTACATCAGTAATTCCACAAATCTAAGATTGAGATGCTGGAGATTTGGACAGGAATGAATGTATTGCAAATTGAAGTCTCGGCAACATAAACACACCTACCAAAATCAAGATACTCTACACTAAGATATTTCTTTACATTAAGGTGTTTCTCTACAGTAAGAAGTTTTTCTACTAATATATCACATCTATTTTTTCTTCGACAGCTACCCG